ATAGTACTCAATACATCAATTGTAGAGCGATATAGAAATACCACTGTTAAAATAGTGCTCAATACATCAATTGTAGAGCGATATAGAAATACCACTGTTAAAATAGTGCTCAATACATCAATTGTAGAGCAATATAGAAATACCACTGTTAAAATAGTGCTAACTATATCAATTGTAGAGTGATATAGAAATACCACTGTTAAAATAGTGCTAACTACATCAATTGTAGAGTGATATTGAAATACCACTGTTAAAATAGTGCTAACTACATCAATTGTAGAGTGATATAGAAATACCACTGTTAAAATAGTGCTAACTACATCAATTGTAGAGAGATATAGAAATACCACTGTTAAAATAGTGCTAACTACATCAATTGTAGAGCAATATAGAAATACCACTGTTAAAATAGTACTCAATACATCAATTGTAGAGCGATACAGAAATACCACTGATAAAATAGTGCTAACTACATCAATTGTAGAGTGATATAGAAATACCACTGTTAAAATAGTACTCAATACATCAATTGTAGAGTGATATTGAAATACCACTGTTAAAATAGTGCTAACTACATCAATTGTAGAGTGATATAGAAATACCACTGTTAAAATAGTGCTAACTACATCAATTGTAGAGAGATATAGAAATACCACTGTTAAAATAGTGCTAACTACATCAATTGTAGAGCAATATAGAAATACCACTGTTAAAATAGTACTCAAGACATCAATTGTAGAGCGATATAGAAATATCACTGTTAAAATAGTGCTAACCACATCAATTGTAGAGTAATATAGAAATACCACTGTTAAAATAGTGCTAACTACATCAATTGTAGAGAGATATAGAAATACCACTGTTAAAATAGTGCTAACTATATCAATTGTAGAGCAATATAGAAATACCACTGTTAAAATAGTGCTCATTACATCAATTGTAGAGTGATATAGAAATACCACTGTTAAAATAGTACTCGGTACATCAATTGTAGAGTGATATAGAAATATCACTGTTAAAATAGTGCTCAATACATCAATTGTAGAGTGAT